GTCTTCAAACTGACGTGGTTCCATTGTTTACGGTTTCCATGACGCCAACAGACAGGGCTGCAACTGACGACAGTTTATTTAAACTATCGTCAGTTGCAGCCCTGTCTGAAACAGCACAGCTCATCAGAGAGGACAACATTTAATCCGACAACAAAAATGAGCAAGTCACTAAAACCTCACTGGAGTTCTTTGTCAGGCTATAAATTAGCCAAGTTGCTACAAGACTCTGAAAATCAGAAGAGGAAGCTCGCTTCACAAGTGGAAGTGCTGAAGGATCAACTCCGAAGTGCTGAGACTCTGTGTGCTTGCCTACAAGAAAAGGTTGCTCAAGGGGCCGCCAAGCTGGAAGAACAGAAAGCTCAAATAGAGCACCTCCAAAGGCAGGTGAAGGAAAAGGATACGACTTTGCAGAGTGCTATGAAACACGGTAACAGACTTCTCAGTCAGATCAACGTCATGATGGGGCAGAATACATCCAGAAAACAGTCAACTGAAAAGACGGATGAGCTACGTCAACAGCTGGACAGGGCGACATATAAACTACAACAGGAGAAACGTCTGAAGAACAAGTACATGAATGCAGAGAAGAAAGCAAAGAAAGAGGCACGAAGGTTGCAAAAGATCTGTGACAAATTCAAGCAGCAAAAGAATAACAACACGGAGCTACTAGCTAGCGCAGCTCTTCAACAAGAATTCGGGCTAATTCAACATCAGCTAAACCAGGAGAACAGACTGCACGTAGAAAGCGCATTAACAGATGTGCTCCTCATCAGAGACCTGAGGGCCACGAGGGAACACCTAGAACAGCAAATATGTGAGCTCCGAGCCCAAAATGATGCCTCGGTGAAGGAGCGGTCACTTATCCGAGACGTGGAGAGATTAAGATCACAAATCAAAGAGCTGATTGCATCCAGCCTCAACACTGCTGAGAAGGTTTCAGAGCAGGAGGAACACCTTGTCCCCGAATCGCAGGCCGTCAAGCTCCTGGGGGAAGCTGCTGCTCCGTTAGAAAATCTCCCAGGAAAAGCAAAGAAGAATACATCGTGGAAAAGATTCCTCATGGCTGTGGGCCTAAAACAGAAAAAGAAGGCCCCAGGGTCCACCGAAAAATGAGATCAGATCTTGAATAACAAGATCTTGAATAAAATGCTAATATAGAGTCCTACGAGTTTTATTTCTTTTCAAATTTATTAAGAGGTCCTACAGTCAATACTAAATGCTTCCAAACCTATCTTTTCAAATTGCTCCTTCATACAGATGAGTCTCACGATTTCTGCTTAAATCAGAGTAGTTGATTTTATTTAAGAATTGCATACATGTATTTTTTAAGCTTATATTACAGATTTGTAGGTTTGATTAACAATCAGCTCTGATTAGATACATTTTAAACAGATTTTTCTGTTCTGTTTCAGGCCTTCTATGTATTAGTTATAGTTGTGGTGTGATGCACATGTGCTGACCTATTATTTTGTGAACTGTTCAGGTGTGCTTGGGGAAAGAAATGATGTTTTATTGCATAAAATAGTGCTGCACGGTACACACGGACAGGAGAGGGAAAAAAAATCCCAGTTTTTCTGAGCTTGTTTCAGTGAACCACCTGTCACCTCACTCAAAACAGGCTCGAACCTGTTGGTTTCTTTGGTTTTTCAACATGCAGTATAAAAGTGACGTCACGCTCTGTACTGGCAAAAAACATGTTCTAAAAATTTTAAGCACTTATTTCTTAAATCCAGCTTCACTGAGAATGTTAACCTCCTAAGACCCGGAATCTTCCACGGCATGCATTTTTAATTTCTCTTATTTCTCTTACTTATATTTGGGCTGATTGTTTTTACAGTCATCAGGTGCCAAAGAATTACCAGATTTGTTTTTTAAACCACATTTTTGTTTCTGAGAAAAATCAGATCCACATATGAGCATATTTGTTTAAAATATCAGTAGAACAGTGGCAGTGTAATGTCCTCATAAGTAGGGATGGGTATCGTTTAGGTTTTATCCGGTGCTAAACCGGTACTTTTGAAACGGTGCCGGAAAGAATGGAGAACACAAAATTGGTCCAAAAACCTCTCATGTTCAGCTGTTTTTTTGTAAAAAGATAACAATGTTAGCCTTTTCTGCAGCTATAGCGGATTTATGGCATCACTCTTGGCTGGAAGCAGCTTAATCAATGGAAAAAAAACACAAACTTTGTCCAAAAACCTCTGCATGCAAAAGCCGCATGTAACTACGACGGTGTTTGCTAGTTCACCTTACATGCATTAATGCAAGAACGTGGTTAGCCTACTCAACGTAAATTACACAGAACAACATTAAGCGACTCACGCAGAGAAGAACGGCTGCTGCTGCATCATCATCCTCATCATTTCTGCTACACTGGCAGGGCTAGGGGCCAGGACTCTCCTCTTC